ATAGGACATAGGAACCTACTTATCTGATCTAAAAACACTTTGTTTAAATTACGAGCTTTTTTCACTTTGAAGGGTGGAATTTTTACAAAATTTATCTACTAGTACATCCAATCATCCAAGTCATATTTACACCTCGTTCCGTAGTAATTTATGGGGAACAAACATTTTCAAGTGCTAATTTTGTTGTTCATTTCTTTGAATATCAGAGTAAAAAAGTTAAAAGCTTGTCAGGTTAGCTATAAAGTAGCTTTTTTACGATGTGACCGCGTTGTTTTAAGTGGCTTATGTTTTGCGTACTTATGAAAACTAACGAAATTATATAACATTTAAGTGGTTTTAAAAAAATTAACAAATATCGAAAATGGAGATGTGTTACTCTAATATACTTATATAATTGAAGCACAAATCCAACTAATAGTCTCAGACCAAGGTCCAACTACCAATATTGGTCTAAGCTAATAGTATACTATAAATGTTAAAGTTTGTATGTTTGTGAGCTTGTTGTATGTTTGTTACTCAATCACCCAAAAACTTTGTATCAAACATATTTGGATGAAATTCGGATACATTATAGTTAATGATCTGGATTGAGAAATATTGTTTATATCCCGGAAAAATGTTAAGTTTCTGTGGGCTAAAAGTTAACGCGGACTAAGTCGCGGGCGGCCACTAGTACCCAAGTACTAGCTTAGATTAAAAACAAAAAGCAGCCGCAAGCCGCTTTTCTGTTTTATTGTAAGGGTACTAGTATACCTACCTACCTTTACAATATTATAATAAAACCGCCGCTGAATCGATTTTGATGAAGGTATGGTAATGTTATTATAAGCATTAATTAAACCGCTGGCAAACTATAACGAATTATTATCCGCCTAATAGTAGTTTTATTTAATTGAATTTATAACAAATAAACTTTATTATGGTTCATAATTGCACAACCTTTACGTTAACGTGGAGACAAATATTGAAGAAACATTTTTATTTGCGTAAATATAACCTAAATTGTTATCTAAATTTGCTTTTGTAAATTTTCACAGGTTACTAAAAGTTCCCGCCGTAGGTACCTTCCATGTAGGTACCTATCTATGTGCCTCATGAAAATATTGGCTAGATATTATTTTATGTAGTTGTAATTTTATTATCAAATGTAATTCCCCACTTTTGTCTTTTTGACAAAGGTGGAACATAGCTTAATTTATGGAATCCTTGGTATGTAGCACGTATTTTTTAATTTTAGCCATATAAAATGAAATCACAATGAACAAATAGTTATTAATAAAGTGCCATCTAGTGTCTAGTAGCAAAAGCTAATAGTTAATTACCACCAAGAAAGTACAAGCCATTGCTTTGAAAAGCACAAATTTTGTTATTACAGTAAATTCGTTGTAAATGTATAGATGGCTCTGCACATTGTACACAGGCAGAGTCGGTAAATTTTGCGTTGTTGTTAAAATATTGATTTCGTGTACTATTTAAGTACAGTCAAACTTAGATAAGTGATAAACCTCTATAGCTGGAACTCATGCTAAGGTCCCGACACTTTAGCACTCTTTAATTACCTCTCAGTGGGTCAAATGTAGGGCGTATAAACTTACACCAACAATATCTATAATGGTCAAGTTTTTTTAATTCGATAGTTAGGATACCCCTAACTATCGAATTAAAAAACTTTGGACACTGAACTAATTGATTCCACGAATAGGTATTCGAGTTTTGTATAATTAAAGATATATTTATAGGCCCTTTTGCATAATACCTCCTAATAAAATTTCTAAAATCTGGAGTAATGACGGAATAGGCATTCGGTATGATTTAGCGACATTTAAAGACGAGGATAAGATATATTAAAGTAAAAAGAATTCATAAATATACTCGAAAATAATTCTTACCATTTAAGTACCTACATAAAAAGCTCTCGAATGTTAGTTTTTACACTTTCTATACGCCTCTATTGTGCGATAAAATTAGCTCTATAACAAGACGTCCTTTAGATTTGTCTTAATAAATCACCTACCTACTCTATTTAATATACTACGTTAAATCATTTTATGAAGATTTCTGTGTTTAGGGTACGGAAAACGAATGTAATAGTGAAATAAAAAAAAACATTTTTGCGCATACGCTCTATTGCATGAGACTCGCTAGCTATGAACAAATCATTATAATTTATTTTATAGAAACAATCATTATTTATATTTTAAAGTACCTATGCGCAAATAAAAAAAACAATTTCATGATAAAGCGGCACCTAGTCGCTGGCAGCAAAAGTCATTACCACCGAGGAAGCGCACAGTGTTGCTTTGAAAAGCAGAGTTTTTGTTATTGACAAGTTAGTTTGTATAAAAGTGTGTAGATGGCTCTGCACTCATTTTGCGTTTTTCTATTTGATATGCCATACTCGCTTAGATCAAATAGTCTGATTGAGCTGATATATCATGCTAGGTGAATAAAATTACTTAAGAAAAAACATAAATAATAAAATTATTAAAGAAACAAAACGAAAATAAACATGAGAGTCGGTGCCATGATAGTGCTATGCCATGACAAACATCCTTATAAATACTATAATTGGCTTGGGTGGACACCACAGAAATAATTTTGTGGTGGCCAACGATTCCAAATATATACTAATATTATAAAGCTGCAGAGTTTGTTTGTTTGTTTGAACGCGCTAATCTCTGGAACTACTTTTCCGATTTGAATTTTTCTTTCAGTGTTGGGTAGTCCATTTATCCAGGAAGGCTATAGGCTATATTTTTTTTTTTCAAAATTAGGGATCCGTAATAAAATTGCTATTTTGTAACACAAGGTGTGAAATCGAAAACCTATTTTTGCGTGCGCTGCAAAAACTATTAACATAACATATATCTAGCTATCATGGTTTAATCACAATAACCGATTTTGTATTCAAAATAATTATTAAATCGTCTGCAAAAAAACTACGTTAAATATGTATCGTAATATTAAAAACACAAACAACCCTTAATTTTCACCCCTCTACCACCCATATTTTTATGGCGATATGGTCGCTGGGTCAGCTAGTATGATATAAATTTTACTTAATGTTATGAGAGGTAAGGCATAGCGGATTCTTTGGCTGGAAAAGTAACCTCCACTTAAAAGACAAACTACACTACATAATAATATTAAAATAACACTGTCCTTTGATGGTGCTCTATGTCTCTGTCGGTCAGGGAAGGCTATGCCTTTGCCTAAGAGATACTTTTAGCGCCCTCTATAGGCTATGCCGTGCTATGGCGGCCTCTTTCCATCAGGGGGGGGGGGGGATACTTGTTTTTTGTTAATAGGCTAGCAAACACGTATTCCCCCACCCCTCATGGGTGGTACTTGTTTGCTAGCTTATTAACAAAAATAAAATTAACCTACCTACTTTCGATTTAAAAGTAATGCATAAGTAATATCTCATAGCTATTTTGTTTTTAAGAAGTTGGTTTTTATTATTGTCAAAATGCTATTTTTGCTTTGCAAGCATTTTCTTTTATAAACACAAGGCCTTCATAAAACTACCAAACACATTAAGCGTTTGCTATAGAAGGGTTCCATTGTTTATATCCAAAAGTATTTATTGGTCAACTTAATATCGCAAAAAGGTGATATTTCGAAAACTCAAATTTGTAGGTAGGGTATGTCCCTACCTACTCATCTTAAAAATATATCAAATACTTTTTGTCTGAACAAATTATTGAAATGATAAACAAACAAAACCTCGTTGGATTAATTTATATTCACTAATTGTCCAACCGTGCGCGAACGCACGCGCTTTATTTCCGTCAAATCATCGTCACTATCTCCAAAGGCGATCACCGCATCGACTCACCCGAGCCAAATAATCGATCGATAATCGAATAACAATCGAATAGCAATCACTCGATTGTTCGGTGCTGGTGGGTGGTCCATGACCGCTGATAGTTAAATGGGTAATTACTTAAACGTCATGTAACAAGAACTTACCAGCTACAATTATGATCTCGTTTCATATTTCAACAATGCACAGAACTCTGGAATATCTCTAAAAATTCGGTGTTGGAGAACTCCTTCCACTCATGCCACTGAACCGATATCGATAAATTTAATGTGTGCTTGAGGCGCCCTCGATGATAAAGATTCACAGCTGGGGCCGGTCGCCTGTGTCGCTGCAGCTGAACAAGAAAATCTGTTGGTTCCGCCAGTTTCCATATAATTGTTCTAGTATTCTTTTTGTCTGTGTCTATATAATTGAACTTGTAATAAATGTCTAGACCGATTACGATGAAATTTTATGTGTGTATGCTAGTTCCTAAGGTAAGAGATGGATAGATTCACAAGTGGACTAGTTGGTGAAGTCAACTGACAATGAATATCAGTATTACCATTGAGCAATTCTTATGAAAGAGTGGGAATGGCCTGGGAACTCTGTGATAAAATCCCCCAATTCCTTCGAGTTTATAGGGGTTTGAAAGATTTGATATTAAGTATTCTAATGCAAATATTACTGAACTAGTTATAATAATATCATTTAACTAAGTAAGAAATAAGCATTTCCCGATTAAAAGACTGCTGCAGTTTTACCTATAGGCATTTAAGTTTTCAAATAATGGAGATAATAATTGAAAGTTTTTCAGCATAGCATAAAGTGAAAAACATTGACAGTATCAAACGATGATTAAACCACACTGCCTAATTGGAATTCCTATTTGAGAAAAATATAACGTTTGACTTTTTGGTGCCTTTTAGTTATTTTTGTAATAAATTTCTCTCTTATTCAAGTAAGTAGTAGGCGAATTCACTTCTTTTCCATAATTGCAAAACATAAATAATACATACGCATGGATTGTGAAAATTCACTCGTCTACCTATATTCTTATATGGTTGATATTTATGAAAATAGTGTGTAAGTTTCATTGAAAATTTTCTACTAAAATTCTTTGTTTTTTATCATTACAAAGAATTATAATATTTTCTTTTTGCACCTGTTGTTTATTTTTAAATTAAGTCCGCTGCCCAAAGATCCTCCCTCACTAAGCTCTGTCAGTTAACTGAAGTTGTCAGGCTATGACAAGATGCTGAAATTTTTGGGTAAATAAATAAATCAACAAACAAAATCATATACTGAACAAGTTTACAAATTGTTTATTATTATTAGAAAGGCCTACATCTAAATATCTCACCAAAATGAGTGGCGTGTTTACGAAATTTCTAAGTCTTCCTTTTCATTTTCCTTTGGTTCGTGGTATGGTGTCGTATGCGATAATATGGCCGACCTGCAGCATCGTTCAAGAATACCTGGAGAAGGGCACTACCCTGGAGAACGCCAATTGGGGACGAGCCGCACGTTTCGGCGTTTTCGGCACTTTCTTTATGGCCCCAGTCTTCTACGGCTGGTTAAAGTATTCAAGTAGATTTTTCACGAGAAAAGATTTGATAACGGCCATGACAAGAGCGGTGGTGGAACAAGTATCCTACTCTCCCTTAGCTATGGCGTACTTTTTCTTCGGCATGAGTGTCCTCGAAGGTAAACGCTACAAAGAGTGCGTGAAAGAAGTGCAAGAAAAGTTCTGGCCGACCTATAAGGTAGGAGTGATTTTCTGGCCGACAGCCCAAACTCTCAACTTTTACTTGGTCTCGGAGAAGAACAGGATGGTCTTCGTGAGCGCTGCGAGTTTCGTATGGACAGTATACTTAGCACACATGAAAGCTAAAGAGCTAAAGAATGAAAACTTTATATTGGAATCTCAATTACAAGTCACTTCGATGCCTAATAAGACTGTCCCGTTAGAACCTGATACGCTAATACCAATAGTTGCTGAATTAAATTCAGATTTGAATGATCAGACTGCTGTGGTTGAAGGTCAGGGCGTGGAAGAGGTTAATGATAATAATCCAATGCTTGTGTTGGAGGGGAACTCTGAAGCTTTAGAAAAGAAGCCAGAACTTGTGTCCGATATACACGAGAAGAGTGGTAGTGTACCTCATGTAGTAGTAGCGACTCATTCTGAACCGACGATTGAGAAGAAGGAACAACCAAAAGCCCCGGTCAAGAGCAGCTCCGATTCGACCGTAGACAAGAAAGAAAACCACTTGCCCTTGTAAGACTTTTGTGAAAATTCGAAGAGAATTTTTTGTGAAAATGTTTATGATTCGTTTGTTCTTTTTTAGGTAAATTTAATATTTATATTTTTGATATACATAAAATTTAATTTTTGAGAAGGTCTGAAAATAAAAACCAAAAGCAAACAACGTCTTTTCCATTTACAGATTGTGTCCCTCGTACCTATTTCTAGGGATCCGTCTGTGAGCGAGGTACGTAATATTTGCCGTCAGTTTGATATTTTGTAAATTTCCTTACCATGCCATATCAATAATCAACGTATTGCAGGTCATGAATGTTACATATGGTCACACTCAGAGACGTCAATTCCACCCTTCCTGAAATTCCACCCCTAAGGGATACGGGGGTTGGAAGTTTGTATGAAAGTCCTATGTTTTTGAAGCAAGAGAATGGAAATTTAACATGTATGCCCTATAGATGGTGTACTAAAAATATATCTTTAGAAATAAACCGCCTTTGGGGTCAAAAAGTATGTGCAAATAACTAACTCCACGCGTACAAAGGCGCGGACGGCCGCTTGTACCATATATTTAGGTTTAGGTTTTATAAATACTAGAAGTGCCCTGCAGTTTCACCCGCATTAATTTGAAGAAGGTTATAGTGGGTTACCCTTAAAAATCAGACATATGCTGTCCTAGACATTTTTATAGAACTTTTAAAGGAGAACAATTATATCATACTTGATTTTTGTGTAACTTTTACTGTTAAGGCAGCGCACGCAACGGAAGCTACAAATGGAATGTTTTTTTCCCGTCGTAGTAGAAGGTCGCGACTTTAAGTAAAATGAATTAAGATAGACCCTGAAAAATCCAAAGGCAAATCCTAGGCAACCCAAGCAGTAAATGGCAACTCAGATCTATCAATACTGTATATATTTTGACTTTAAATGACCTGACGACCTCCGAGTGCGAGTGGTTTGTGTGCCAGGTTTCATAGTGTCACCTACTCGAGAGGTACCGGGTTTGAATCCCCGTGGGGGCATATGTTTGTGTGATGAATACAAGCATTTGTACTCCAGTCATGGATGTTTAATATGTATTTCTATATAAATTTAATTATATATGTATAGTGTATGTATTCTATCCGTTACCCTAGTATCCCATAACACAAGCCTTACAATGCTTACTTTGCTAGGCTAATTGGTGTACTCACACCAATATTAATTCAAATTGGAAATATTTATTCATTTATTATTTATTTATATAAGATAAGAATATGCATTAGTTCTTCTTTTTAGTGTTTGTATAAAGTGTTTTTATTTTTGTAAAAAAGTTTTAATTTTACACTTTTTATATACTAGCCCCTCCTAGAATGAACACCGCGATATGATATTTAACGCGTTTCTATCACGTTCAATTCACAGTCAAATTACTATGGACTTCGACAGTAAGACGCGATAAAAAACGTGATATAATGTAAATTGTTGTGCTCATGCTACGGGGATAGATCAACATACTAAGTACTTGGTACCTAGCTTGCATTATCTCTTTCATATTTCTTAAAATAACCAAACACGAATTAAGTAGTTTGTTATCGAGGAGTCCATTACTTTCTCCGAAAGTACTGATAAGATCCTCACTAAATGAATACGGGACTATTTCGCCAAAAAACTGGTTCAAACAAAAAGGGAATCTTCAAAATCGGTCCACGCATCTCGGAGATATGCGCGAACAACAATAAAAAAAAATGTTATGACCAATTGAGAACCTCCTCCTTTTTGTATTAAGTAAAACATTGTTTTGTAAGTCAAAATTTTTCAGTTCGAGACCGTTTCTCTAAGAAAAATATATTTTTGTATGAAAATAAACACATTTATGTCGAAAAGTTTTTGAAGTTATACTTCTTTAGGCGCGTTATGAAAAAATGATGAGAGTGAAATTTTAAGATGCGGCCGCATCACTGTAACACAAAATTTTAACAACTTCATGCTGTTACTTTTGTGTTTACCGCACATTAAGAAAATGTACCAACAAAATAGAAATAGAATCTCTATTTAGTGGGTGCTAACGACTGCATTGTGAAGGCCTATCAAAAGTATTTATTAATCTGGAACAACGGAACCAAAGCGCGATTCAGGAGACTACAGCGCCCTCTCTTGACCATTGGTGTAGTAGAACCAAAAACCACATCTTTATTTTTTGTAATAAAGTAACAGTTATAGGTATTCATATTTATAATATCAAAAGTATTTATTAATCTGGAACAACGGAACCAAAGCGCGATTCAGGAGACTACAGCGCCATCTCTTGACCATTGGTGTAGTAGAACCAAAAACCACATCTTTATAATATTTATCCACATGTTTCTAGTTTGTATATTCGGAATACGTGTTTGAGTTTCATACAAGTGCAAATCACATATGTTCTAATAAATTATATTCAGTAGCGATTTTAATTGAATATTTTGATTATTTATTTATTTTTTCAAATTGAAACTGAACTTTATTGACTGTGTCCTTTTCCAGACTTTTTATTAATTTATTGTAATTAATTATTTGCATGCAATTAAAAACTAATTTTAAACGATGCCAAAGAAGGATAACTTCTCACGCGCCTACATAAGTACACGCACCCATTTTTTTTATGAAATTATATTAGGGATGATGCCTAATTTTTGGAGTTTACTCCTTAAGAATCGATTTGCATATATAAGAGGCCCAGTATGAGAAAAATGTGAGGAGTAAAATCTATCGATGAATGACCTCGTTACGTTTTTGGTGCGCATCCTATGTCGCGCAACTTTGACAAACAAAGATGACGGCTTGACATTAAATATTTTATAATCTGAACTGAATTTAGATATTGTTTCTGATAGAGCAATGGGGACAACAAGGTATGGTACAACCATTGATGCGGTATTTTCAAGATTCGTGATCTACGAACGTCCATGTGTCTTATTTTAGTTACCATAAACCACTTGTCACTGTAATTAATAATGCAGACAATGTTGATTTAATTAATATTTAAAAAAATGATAATATTCTGATAATAATAATTACATAATTTATCAACATTCCTAATGATATATTGATGCAGATCTGAAATTGACTATTGTAAAAAGTTTAATGTAAAATATTTCGTCGATTAGTTATAATAAATGTATATGAAATGAATAAATATATATTTATATTATTTTCATTAATTTGTTAATTTACCCTTTCATACAGTATCAATCTTTTTTAAGTTTAATAAACTCTTCTTGCGTCTGGTTAGACTATCGAACTTAAGGAGTAAACTCCAGTCGTGCGTCGGAGCTGACACACACATTTTTTTTTCTTCGTTTATCAGGTAGATTATCAAAAAGTATTGGACACGTATTTTTTCTTTTTTCACATACTATAAACATTGCAGAGATATATTGATTTGAAAAGTCGCACGACGTCACGTTTTGATACAATTTTCGCTTAAAGTTAAAAGTGACGTCACGAGCCCCTACTTCCAAACTTTGACGAGCTTTATCTTTGTCATTTTTTGGTTGATTGCCCAAAGAAAAAATACGTGTCCATTATTTTTTGATCATCTAACTGACGGACTAAATAGGATTTCGTTAACTTAACCGGTCATCATGCCTAATAAACCCCATCGATTTACCAACTAAAACAATTGTCTGTTTTTGAATACGAATGAACAAATCCCCACGCATTCCGTGTCTGTTTCAGGTTGGGGTAACCTTTCACGATTTTAGGTTAGCAGGAAGTATATTTTAGGGTTAATAATTCACTTTTGGGAGCGACAAAATGTATGCAGCATTATCTTTTGCGTACGTCGTCTAAGAAGTTTGCTTTTTGGAAAAACCTCTTGACAGACGCATGGACAACAAAGAAATGATCCAAGTTTAGTTTTTAATTGAGGTGGGGAACCCTAAAACCTACTGCAGGAGACGCCTAGTCTACTAAAATAAAATGGTCTTGCTCGCTACTGCAATACTGCAATTGAAATTTAATAAGAATATGTTTTAAAGTTGCTGGATGTGTAAATCTTAAGATTTTTTGTTTTATATGTATAATAAACAATTTGTTTTAGTCGCCGAATTCTGTACCTATTTATTCAATTCATTTCTGTTAAGATGCCAAATAAATCCTTTCGATTTATGAATTGATTCAATAAACTGTTTCGAGTGTGGTTAATAGTTCCATTCTACATAAATCAAATCGGAAAAAATATAACTCACATTCACATATAAAGCATTCTAACCTTCCCATTTCGAATAAGAAATCCCCAAAAAAATGGACAAACTTATAATAATTATTAATAATAATGGGAATGAATTTTTATGAGGGAATATTTTCGATGCGTGGAGTCCATTAATCATGTTTTGTCAACGGGCCCGCGCGTCCGATGCCCGAACTTCATGGTCCTAACTTTTTGGTGCACACATTTTTTACATTCTTTCAGCTTCGCAGTAAATCCTCCTCCACGCACCTATTTAAGTAAGTAATAAAATAATAAATGATATTGGAAAAAAAACATTAAATTATTAAAACTACATGACTGCAGGTAAGTACTTTATACTTATTAACGGGATTGTTACCGTGTACCCTGTTTTTATGAGTCTCCGATATTTTGGCACTGTCGCAAGCGCTATATGATCACGGAGTTAGATGTTATTGGCAAACATATCCGCCTATCCGCTGAAGTCGTCTTTTTTACGTCCTATACTCCTACACTGGCCCCATTCTCACTATTAACTCGCACGTATCATCGTATCAGACATGGTAATAATCCCATTAATGCCTATAATGTTACTGTCCATGAAAGTTTAAAACAATATACTGTAGGTACTGTCAAAAATCAATACCAAAAACCCAACAAGTTCAAAAAAGTTATTGCAGTCGTCCTCTGACTTCAAGGACATTTTGAACTTGAACATGTAATTTTAAATAAATTTCACTTATTAGTGACAAAGGCGACCAATCATCGCGAGCTGCTCTATGTTTTAGAAGACCCTTTGAGCGCGGTCCTGCATCTGCAGTAGTTAGCACCCATCAATCTGCATTTGCCCAGCATTGTGGGTGAATGCCCAATCTCCCTATTCCGTCAAATTATAGGGAAGGCATTGGAGACCTTAAAGCAGGTGATAATGATAAAAAATCTATTTTTTTTAGACATTTCTTTAAAGACAGGTA